CATCTAACCAACTCATCAACACATAATTTAATTCCCTAAAAATTTTATGACCACAAAATTTATACACTTTTGTTAATGTCCACATATAAGTGTACCCTACTAAAATGTGTTGGACTAATTTGTGCCCTTAATTTGATCGTGTAAAAATCTTGAATCCTTATCTTTTAATTCAGACACTCCAACATCAATTTCTCCACCATTCAAGTTTGTTTCTCTCTCCTATAATTTTTTTATATGATTTATACCCCAATTTCATTCACATTTATATTTCCTCTTCTTTTCTTTCTTATCTCTAAGAAAGAATATACAAAGAGTTAGGCTTATATTATAAGTAATTTTTCATCTTTTTGATTGAAATAAATTCTGGGTTTTGTTAAATTGCTGGAATTTTCATCTGGGTGTATCTTAATTTTTGAAAATATTGGAATTTTGAGTGAGAAATTTGGGTTTTTGTAGAGAAAAGAACAGAGTAGAAACAGGGGAATTGAAAAACAGAGTAAAAAAAAAAGTTGATAAAAAATGAAAATTCAGTGTGATGTTTGTGAGAGAAATCCAGCAACAGTAATTTGTTGTGCAGATGAAGCTGCGCTTTGTGCAAAATGTGATACAGAAGTTCATGCAGCAAATAAGCTTGCTAGTAAGCATCAAAGACTTCAGCTTAATTGTCTTTCTAGCAAACTTCCTACTTGTGATATTTGCCAGGTAATTTCACTTTAACCATTTTTTTATTTGATAAATATAGATCATATTTGTAGTAGTAGGTTAGTACTCCTGCGATTTACGGATTATTTTATATAAAAGTTAGGATTAAGATGACTTTGGTTCATAGTTTACTCTTAACATGATTAAAAAACTTTGACTCTTAAATAGACAAATTAACTAGTTTTATATGGCTAAAGATATATTATTCTATCATATGAAGTGAATATATATACGAAGTATAAGTAATATAATTACATCACCAAAAAGGTCCACTTTGTTTACTTAATTACAACTTTACAAGGGCCTAAACTTCATACTATATGAAGTGATCTTGTGATTTGTCCAAGATTATATTGCTATCAAATCTACTTGGGAATTTGTGACCCTATTAGTTAGCTATTTAACAAATATTTCCTCTTTTTGCGAGTTATCCGTATCCGTATCATGTTACTCGGATTTGATGTTACTCGGATTTGGATATTCATATCTTACTCGATCTGCTTAATTGGTTTAAAAGCTAAAGGGTTGAAGTATCCTACCGATTATCTTAGGTTAAATTAAGAGTCCGAGTAACATAGCCTTGCTACCGCAGTAAGTTTAGGAACCAATGTTTCTCTTCAGATCTTTTAGGAAGGTTCAATTTTATGGATGAGTCAATGAGATGAATAGGTAAAGCTCTTATTTTTAGGGTATAGCTTGACTTTGAATCTTGATATGAGTTACATACTTGGACCTCTTTGTCCAAGAAGAGGATAACAGTTTATAATAAATCATCAATTTTTGGAGGTAGAATGACTATAATTGAACCTGTAAGAATATGCTTGAACTGCCTATCTAAAGACATGGTTCCTAATATGATCAGATCTGTATTCTGTTTGTTTACAATAATTCATGTACTATATAGCAGAATTATATTCTCAGCTACTCCCTTTTTTACAAAGTAGAATTTCTGCTGATCTCTGCTTCATTTTGTTTGGTTACAGGAAAAGACTGCATTTATCTTCTGTGTAGAAGACAGAGCCCTTTTCTGTCAGGATTGCGATGAATCGATTCATGCAGCTGCAACTCGCGCTGCAAACCACCAGAGATACTTAGCCACTGGTATACGAGTTGCCCTGGGTTGCCTCTCCAAGTGCAGAAATGAAACTGAAAAGAACTGCACAGAACCATCCAACCAAAATGCACCACAAGTCGCGGTAAAACAACCAGTGCAACAGCCTCCCAACTTTTCACCTCCCTCGTCTTGGGCTGTTGATGATCTGTTGGAGTTCACTGATTTCGATACTGACAATAAGGTGAGGAACATTTGCTGCATCTAAGTCATTTTACCAAGTAGTTAGTAGTAGAAATCTTTTTGACAGTACTAGTATATAACAGTAGAAATCTTATTGACAAGTTTTTCATTATGAAATGTGCAGAAAGGACAGCTTGAGCTTGGAGAGTTCGATTGGTGGTCAGACATGAGTCTGTTCGGCGAGCAAATTCCTCATGAAGCCTTAGCAGCAGCTGAAGTTCCACAGCTTCCTATGTCAATACCAAGCAACCATACAGTGCAATACAGACCTACCAAGACGAGCATGCCCAACAAAAAGCCTCGGATTGAGATTGCTCATGATGACGATGATGAGTACTCAATCGTTCCTGACCTTGGTTGATGTAGCAGTCTGTTATATGGCCTCTTGCCAATAACAAAGTTTTCAGTAACATGATTGCAACGGTACATTATGATATAGTACGCATGTGTAAATGTTGCAAATCTGAGAGCTGTAAATTGAATGATATGCTACTATGAGGTTTGTAAATTGTTCATAAATCTCTGGTTTGAGGGTATGAACATCTTCAGATAGACTTATTGGACAGTAATATCAGGATCATGCATGAAAGACTTATTGTTCAATTGTTCTTACTGCTAAGACAAGCTTCCCTCAAGTGCGCGTTTTCTTTAGAATTTTGAGCATGGTGGGGTGTTTTAAAACCCGCGATCTCATCTAAATCAAACATTATAGCCCTAAACTGCCCCAAAAGTGGCATTCGGTGTTTCGCTCGAAGTTTCTTGTATATGGTCATGTGTCTGTCTCTCCAATCAAAGCTCTAAGGGCCTGTTCACATGAATATTTTGTGAGAGGAGGAAATTAAAAGCTGAAGTGAATTGAATTGATTGGAGTTGAGCTGACTAAACTGAAATTAAGTAAATGTGAACAGACCCTAAATCTCTAATAGTCTGTTCTAACTACTGAAATAGTGTACAATTATTAAAAATTCTTAACAACACAATGCAATCAAATTTGTTCGCCGACACTATATGTGATTAACACATCATCTCCGCACCTACATCATATGATAGTTTGAACCTTGGTTTTGATTCACTATTCTAAACTATATTGTACAAGTATTGTGGAGTAGTAATTTATTTTAGTTACAATTTTTCGATACGAATATAATGATGTACAAAGTAAAAATTAAAAATTTATGATGCAAGTATATTAAATGCTAGTTATATGTAATAAAAATCAAAGTCTACTACAATCTTTTTCATCTCATTGATGATTTATACATGGGAATTTCTCAACGGTAACCCTCAACTTTTGCTACGCACCAATAGTAACCTCCCCTTTTTTTATTATACAAAATGACCTTAGTTACAAATTTCATCTCATTCATAACCTAATTTCATTAAATATTAACTATAGTTAGATTTATATTTTAAAAAAAAAGAAAAATTAAAAAAATTAACCTTAAACACCAAAAACCACCCACAAACTGCCAGCCACCATCTCCCTTCCGGCACACCACCCCAAGTTCCTCCGATCGCCGGCGATGCTACTTAGACTCCTCCGACTGCCGGTGCGCCAACTCCACCTCAAACACCGCCAAGCCAGATTCCCAAATCCCCTACCACAACCCTCCTTCCCTCTTCTCCTTCTCACCATCACCCCACTAGAGCGCCGATCTCGGAACCCTGACCACCCCCACACCGCTGAACCCCAAACACGAATTGGATTTTGTAGATCAAACTAGGAGCGACCGCTTCAATGGAATTAGCGCCGGCTCTGAAGGGTCTTGTGGTGGCTCTGATGTGGACTGAGTGCGATGGTGGCTGTTGTGGTCGAATTGGAGGTGCAGGTGGTTAATTCGGCGGCTAACGGTGGAGGTAGGGAGGTGGGTTGGTCGCGGGCTGCTATGCGAGGGAGTTGTTGCCTGGGGTTCGGCGGTTTGGGTGTGAGGTCAGTGTTTCAGACGAGGAGGTTGGGTGGGAGGTGGCTCCGATGAGGGTGGAGGTGGTGGTGCTAGCTAGATCTGGTGGGGATAAGGGTGGAGGCGGTGGTTTTTCTTTTTAGTTTTTTTTTTTTTTTCAAAGCTAACCATAGTTAGTTTTTTTTTAATTAATTAACCCTCAGCTCATTAATGTCATAAGTGAGATAAAGTTGTTAATTGGGGTCATTTTGTATAATTAAAAAAAAGGGAGGTTACCATTGGTTCGTAGCAAAAGTTGGAGGTTACCGTTGAGAATTTCCCTTTATATATTTACATGCTTTCATGATAATTTAGATGGTACGAAGTAAATTTTTTAAGAAGTGTCAGAAATCATAAGTTTTACGGAGTGTGTTACATTTTCAAATGTCAAGTGACGCAATTTCATACATACGTAATACATGTAGTTAGATGATTTATTTTCAGGATTTATGTTTTGGTTCATATTATACCTCATTTTTATTTCGAGTTCAAACTTTGTATTTTCGATTAGTTCCTGTACATTCATCCCCTTTGAAAAATAATATTACCAAGTCAATATTAGAAAAGAAAATTTTAATTATAAATTATTCATTGATACATAGAAGAACAGAACTAATAACACCATCTTTCTGCTGATTATATTCATTAATTAGAAGTTTCCAGAAAATTTAAGCAGGGCCAAATATTGCACAAAATACAACTGACCAACTATGGACCTATGATACACCTAGACATAATGATTAAAGAAAGCAAAAACAATTTCATTCAAAGAAAGAAAGAATAAAACATATAATTTAACAAAGAAGTTTAGGTTGATCTGACCTCTTCCATTGATGCCTTAATTTATTCCAAACTGCCAAAACAAATGATTCACCATCTTCTTAAGCTTATAAATTATTTATTATCACACTTGATAATGTTACCAGGATCTTGATATGAAGTATTACATGTTACTTTCTTTTTCTCCTTCTCAACTTCGACTTATTCGATATATAAACAGCATCACTGCTACAAACTTCATCATTTCAAGCACATTTACTATAACACAAAACATTTGTATACCAATGGAAAGCAAAGAGCACCAGAAAATGTCCTTCTACTTCATCACAATGGTCATTCTTGCCATTTTCAGATCGATGTCAGTTCACTCGACTACCTTGAGCTCAGAGATTGATGTCCTAAGGGCCTTAAAGGAAGGGATTGATCCCAACTCGATTCCAAGCAATTCATTCATCAGCACCTGGGATTTTGCACTGGATCCTTGTGAGAGCACAGGGGCTCACTTCCTTGGGATCCTCTGCTCGATTCCTGAGGACAACTCAAGCAGTCGTATCACGATACTTGACCTGGATGGTGTTGGGTATGATGGATTTCTCACTAGTGATATTGGGAACCTGACCGAGCTCACCATCCTTAACTTGAGCAGAAACAAGTTTCGAGGACCAATTCCCGACAGTGTAACCAAGCTTAACAAGTTAACTGCACTTGTGATGTCTGACAATTTCTTTACTGGCAGCTTACCACTAGGACTAAGAAGACTGAAAAGGATCCAAGAGCTAGATGTCTCGCGTAACAAACTTACCGGCTTGATACCTACTTGGCTCACCAACTTTAGGAGCCTCGAGTCCTTAAAAATGGCAAGCAATGGATTTTCTGGGCGTATCCCTAACTTGGCAGGGTTATGGCAGCTTCACACATTAGACCTCAGCAACAACCAACTATTTGGGATCCTCCCTCAGCTTCCAACAAGTTTGAGAACATTGTCTCTGAGCCACAATGTACTTTCAGGGAGTATTCACTCGATATACGAGCTCCAAAACCTCAGATTGTTGGACCTGAGTGATAACAGATTCAGTGGCAGAATCAGAGGAATTGTCAGCTTACCCGAGGTTGTTAGTCTGAATTTGTCAGTCAACTGGTTCACAGAGCTGCAGGTTCCCAAATTTGCAGGTGAATCTACCCATCTTGAAGTGCTTGATGTGCAAGAAAATCGTCTAACAGGCCACCTACCAGCAAATTTAGCCACAATGGAGAGGCTGACAGCAATATACCTGAGTCACAACCAGCTTTCTGGACCAATTCCAAGGAGTTTTGGTGTGAGGCTAGGTGCTCCTTGGAGGCATGTGTTCCTCAATCACAACTTTTTGGTGGGAGGTGTACCCCCAGAATTCGGCATTCAAAAGGTAAAGGTGACGGGCAGCCTAGCACACAATTGTCTCAAGTGTCCGAAAAATGTAACCATGTGTGAAGGAGGTCAACGCCCAGCTCCGGAATGTGCAGGGCAAAGTGTCGAATTTTTACAATAGGAGGAAGCACCAGCTAGCAAGCAGAAGTAATTATAATGTCTTTCGTTTAGTCATAATCGTTTGTAATGAGATATATCAGACGAGAATAACTGTGTATTGATAACAATTTATTTAAGGTAAATAAAGCTGATTACTTCATAAACTGATATTAGCATGTATGTTATTTGCACTACGCCATTAAATACTTCATAATTCCTCATGTCACATTATAGCAAGTGGGGAGGTCTAAATGAAGAATGAAATTACAACCCTAACCAAATTAGTTATATTAGAGCTAGGCCGTCGAGGAAGTGGGGAAAAGAAAGGGGAAAACACATGCCTGAAATTATGAAACCTAGAACTCCAAAATGATCTGCATGCAGCAGTAGCTTGTGTTCCAGATCAGAGAAGCCAGTTGGCTTGACATTACCAAGCCAACTAGAACTGAGAACCGAACCAAAGCCAGCTAACAGCTTGTTTCCTAATTTCCACAATAACCTGGGTAAAGGCAGCCAGGAAGACATATGTAACGAATACCACTAACGGGATATACAAATCTGGTTCATTGATGTCATACATTGGAAGTCTATAGGAAACTTTTGAAGAGCCATCCAGAGATTAAGGGTGTTGAATTTAAACAACATTGTACTTACATTGATTTGCACATACTCGGAGCTGGACCGAGAAAAATCTCCCCATATGCCCACAAACCACCTCAGATATATCCAGAACCGACTGCAGAGAACACACTTCCAAATGCAATGAGCTGGGGATAAGCAGGAGATCTCAGCATACCAGGCTGAGATCCCACAGTGCTATACATCTGCAACAAAATTTACTAAAATGAGCCAGGTTCAGAAGTAGTGATTCAGAAAGAAAATGTGTTTAATAATTTTGATTATATTCTCACTAACATAGTCACGTTACAGAAATATAACAGCGGAGTATTATCTTAGTCCCCTTGACACGATAAAAAATCCTGAAGACACCCTGATTTGTTGAGGCTAACATCCTAAACCTTAGATTTTAGAATTAGCTACTTAGATGTCAGCCATACGCTACCATGGTCATACAATGTGGCATTGTGCATCTCATAGAAATATAACACTAAGCAGAAATAGGTTGAAACTAAATTAAGTATATCTTAAATGGGAACACAAAACTTGGTTTGAAACTTTGATCCAATTGCTCATGAGTCACGACATACTCTCTACCAATGAAAAGATGATAAGCTATAGTGAGGTAAAAAACATTCAGATGGTAGGCAACTTCATACTCCCAGACTCTTTCATGCTTAATTTAGTCAATAGATACCCTAGTTTGCTTAGCAAAATAGACAAAATCCAGGTCCTTTTATTTCATTCTATTGAGCTAGACTTCGAATGTCCTAACTTCTTGAATGAGGTTATTATGCTACACCTTATGTTCAACTAATTTAAAAAATCAAAAGAGATAATCTATATTTCTACCATCATTGCTCAACCACAAGCTAACTCAAACCTGAAATTAGCTGGTTAGATTTTATCATATTCATCCCAATTCTAAAAATAACACCATTCCAATTTACAAATTTATAAACAAGACCGTCTTACCATCATAAGACCTCGGAAACATGGAAACTTATGAGACCGGGGTTTTCTCGGGGCGAAAACCCCAACCTTTCCAAAACCCCACCATTTCCATGCAACATAGATAGCCCAAGACAAACAAACAACCTTACAATCCACCCCATTCTCTCACCCCCTAGCACCAACAACCTAGAGGTGATCATTGAGCGGGACGGGCCGAAGCTAAAAAAAATTAAGCCCACTTTTTGTGCTGGGTTGGTCCAAGCTCCGGGCCGGGATCTTTTGTGCCCTTAAATTTTTGGGCCGGTCTCACTTTGATCACCTCTACGCCAACCCCACAAAATTAAAAAGAAAAAAAAGGTTGCAGACAATCAGACATACATGGATGACAAGAATAACGGGTTACACAATCATTCCAAACATAGAAAGATTACATATTGTAAAATACCCTCAAGAATTTTGTCATTGTCAGCAACAATGGTCATGATTTCTTAAAATTTACCAAATTTCTATACAGTACAGTAGAAAGTACAAATATTTACTCCGATAGTAGAATTTAAACAGAAATTGCATGATGAAATACCTGACTTCTTGGAATTTTGATGATATGAATTAGAGCTACTGAAGTAAGTGAAGTACTGAACGAAGTAATATGATGAATTAGTGATATAATTAGCATTGGAATCATCTCTGTTTTGCGTGGCTCCTAGATAGGGATGTGAATATTAAGTGGATATCCACTAACCCGTTCCACCCGCAATAAATAAATGGATGAAAACCCGAATTAAATGGATGAAAAGCGGGTGACGGATGAAGCGGATGATGGATCGGATCGGATATGGATGATACTTTTTTCACCCGCTAATCATCCACCCACCCGTTTAACATATATTAATTTTTTAATCTAAGAATTTTAATAATAAAATCTGAAATGTGCAAGAAAATTATATGTATTTTTTGTTGCAAATTAATTTTTCAAACAATATATTGTTATTGTTTCCTTTTTAATTAATAAAATTAATAAAACTATTGTACAAATAACCGAAAATTAAAGTTATGTGAGTTTTTTTCAACTTTAATACTCATCCATTAGTCATCCGCTCCACCCGTTTCATCCGCGGATGATGGACGGATGGATAAGATGATGGGTGAAGCGGATGATGGATGGATGTGGATGGAGCGATTAGAGTAATGGATGGATGCGGGTGAAGCTCCACCCGATCCGAATCCGATCCATTGCCATCTCTACTCCTAGACGTTCCCTTACTGCCTAGTGCCTACTCCATTTGTGAATTGTGAAACAAATGAGGACTCCAAATTCAGTGAGGGATTATATTAAAATAGCAATTAGGGAATGGATTTTAATCCTAATTAAATTTTAGCAAGGATAATTGAAGTAATATAAAAAATAAATCTAATATATATAAATAAAGTAGGCATTTTTGGAGAGCATTGGGAGCGCCACATAAGAAAAGGTATATTTTTAACCAATTAAAAATTAGATTTTTATTTTATTTTAGAATTAAAAAAATCACTTGCCACCTAAACAAACGTGACGAATGAAATTTAAAATTTTTGCTAGGTAAAAACGACGAATAGTAATTTATTAGGATTTTTATTTTTTAAGAACACTAAATTTTATCCTTTTTATTTGTTACAAAACCAAAACTAATATTTAGATATTAGGATTTATATTATTTAAAAAACTTAAAATTATATTTTGATATTTTAAAAATATAAATTATCATTCGATGTTAATGGTTTTATGTAAATATCTGATGATATAATCCACCAAAAAAATATTTATATACAAAATGTATGTAAAAATTCGTGCATCGCACGCTACATAAGCAAAAGTAATATTTTGACCAATGAAAAATTAGATTTATATATTAATTTAGAATTTTAATTTTCAGTCTCCATTTAAGATATTAACAAATGAAAATTGAGAATTGAAAACAAAAAATAATAATTTAAGATTTAAATTATGAAAAAAAAACAAAAATTATCTTTTACATTAGGATTTATATTATTTAACGAATAATTAGAAATTAAAAAATATATTTTGATTTAATGATTTTATCTAACTATCCGATGAATGAGATAATATTTATTTCAATTTATAAATTCAAGTTCTATAATTTAGAACTTAACCAAATATTTTACCTTAAATTAATGTTAAAATAATAGAATAGAAAATAAAAACAAAAAATATTAAGAAATTACAAAAAAAATATACAAAATGAAATATTTAAAAATCGTGCATCGCACAGGCTTACATCTAGTAAATAAATAAAGTGAAGTAATATAGAAGTAATCACACTTCACTTGTAAAACACAAGTAAAAAGCCGAAGCCTTACAACAAAAAAAAAAGTAATATAGAAGTAAAATTTATGGAGTGATTTTTTCACATTTGCTACCACCTAAAACACCTAGCTTTATATTTGCTACCGTTTTAAAAAAAAATTTAACTTTGCTACCGCCTAAATTAGAGTTTGTTAGATATCACTACCACTTAACCGAATCCGTTAGGATTTCCGTTAAGTTTCTTACGTTTATTAAAAAAAAAAAAAAAAAAAAACCCAGCCACCCCACTGCCACTAGGGATGGCAGTGGATCTGGACCCGACTCGAATCCATGGATCCATTTCACGGATCTGGGTCCTCAAATTTTAGACCCGACGGATCCGGGTCGGATCCGGATCCAGCTGGAAAAAACGAATCTGGGTCCGGTTCTGGAGTACAAGTGTACAGGCGCAGCTATACAAGACTCACAAAGTCACTCACAAATTTCGGCCCATATTAAAAAAAAAAAAAAACCCTAATTTTCTCTCTCTAGATTCCTTCTCCAATCTGGCAATCTCCACCAGCCACCAGCCCACCACTCAGCCTACTCTCCACGAACCACGACTCCATCAGATCGGCGGCGATCTCCGATCAGTTCTGTAACTTCTGCTGTAAGTCCCGTATTCCGTCCTCTTTTTAGTTTCTTTGTTGTTTACTTTATATGAGCAAATAAACTAAAGTAGTAGTTCAGATTTGTTTGTGATGAATTTGTACAAGTTTGCATTTCAGTTGATGAAATTCGTGGGTTTATTTGTGTTGTTGACGAAATTAGTGGGTTTATTTGTGATGTTGATTCAATTCGTGGCCTTGTGGAGTTGTGGGTTTATTTGTATGTCAGTTGATGAAATTCTAAATTTCGTGGGCTATTTGTGCATGTTTTTGCTGCCAATTTGGTTGCACAATGTCAGTTTATCAACTATAGAAGAACTTAGCAAATGATAATGGGAATTTGTATGTGAAGTAATGTCAGATTATCAACTTAGCAATGTCAGTTTATCAACTTAGCAATGATAATGGGAATTAGTAGTATCATGTTTTTGCTGCCAATTTGGTTGCACAATGTCAGTTTATCAACTTAGCAATGTCAGTTTATCAACTATAGCAGCT